AACCCCAGTTACATGGAAAGAAAAAAAAAACATCTCTCTTGGCAATTTAACGTTTATTGTGGAGCTTCTGGGGAAATGCCAGTTTCAAATACAGAAGTTCACCATGAAATTCTGTTCCTCCACAGCTTTTTATAGTTCTCAAAATACCATCTGGTCCTTAAAGCAGCCAACACACTAAAGACCCCTATTATGTAAAGTTGACTTCTTGAATTACTTGTACTGTATTTGATTTTAGTTCGATGAGTGAAGTGAACCGTTTGTCCTGCCATGACGGAGAAACTGTTTGAAATGGTCAGGCAGTTGTTCCCCAATGGTTCTCATCACCGTCACCTCTGATTGGAAACAATTGTCTGTCCCTGGCAATCGCTTCCTTGGGGTTCTCCTCCAGCAAAACCCCTTTAAATATACGGGCAAAATTATTCCGCCTCAAAAATGTCATACAAATACATTGGGATCTGACATGTAGGCCGAGTTGTATGTCAGATCTGTGGAGAGGCAAGCTGAGTGAGGCGTTAAAATTAAAATTTTTTAGAGCAAATGCAAGAACTGTGGAACATTCCAGGCAAAGTAATAAGATCTCCATGAACACAAGCAGGTAGTTCATGGATACCCCACCAGATCCACTCCATCGTGCATTTTTAACTATGAGCAAATTGTTGTCATGTATCCCATAAAGAAGTCATTGTTCGGTGTCTTTCCCTTTAATAGAGAGGGGTGGGCTTTTTCGGAACTGCAGTAATGTCTTTCTTTCTCTCTTTTTTTTGTCCCACATTCCTGAATTGGTTTCCCAGAAAGAGTGTTTATCCGCCTCCGTGGGGTGACTACACTGACCGAAACACAAGATACACCTCATGTTCGTAATGACCGAAATTCCCAGTTGAGAAAAACAGGCTGGATACTTTGGAAAGATAAATTTAGTCGCCCTGAATGAGAGCAGTGACTTTGCCAAAATCTGTACTCAGATGTGAGAGAAAGTGATAATAAATCTGATATTAATGTTTTAACTGAGAAAATCTGTCATCACTAAACACATAAAAGTAATTTGCATGACAGCTATTCTTTATTTAAAGGGGCGTTATGTAACTTTTCTAGGCTAGGCATGTTATTGCTTTGTCTGAAATGTTCCACACTGGCTTTAAATCTCTTAAATTTAAACTAAATTAGCATTAGGTGCTTTTACTGCTCAAAAATACCTTGAAAAACTTGCATTATTATTGTGAGTTCGCTTGCCTCTCCCCAGATCTGACCTGAAACCTAGGGGAATTACCTGCTTATTTCTATGGATATAAATTAAATGTCATATTACAGGTGGCACGTGGCACACCCTCTACTAGTAAAGTTACACTGTGCACCTTTAAAGAAATGACTAATATTTTGTGTGTAAAATGGGTGTTTTATCACCATTGGGGTATCAAAATCAGTGCATTGTGACCACATTATTATCTTCCAGTTGTCTTTTTCCTCTCTCTCCCACTCCTTCTCTTTCTCATTCCCCCGTCTCTCCTCTCCCTCTTTCTTTCTCTCCCTCCCTCTCTCTTCTCTCCCTCTTTCTCTCTCTCCCCCTCTTACTCCCAGAGCGACTTTGTGATGAACCGTTTCTGTGTTTGGGCCTGATCTCATGTTCAAACACAACTTTATTTGTTTTTTTCCGGCGACGGCGAACAGCCTCCGAGCTCTTTGTTTACGCTGGGTCTCCGCTCAGGGCTTTGAAGCTGGAGGAGACGTATGCTTTCCTCTGTTCAGACAAATGAACCAGAACGCCACCAAACAGCCAAACAAGTATACGTATACAGGATTTAACAATTTAGTTCAAGTGGATAATGCCTATACTACAAATGTGGGTAGAGTAACCAAAAACTGTACTTAAGCAAGAGTACTTTTGCCTTAAACTAATGTTACACAAGTATAGTACAATGTAGTGTTTAACAAAATTACTCAAATAAGATTAAAACAAGTATTTGAGTAAACTACTTGAGTAACTGTAAGAGTAAAAACTGGGATGTAACTGATAGTATGAAGTTGTAATTATATTTAAAAAAATCATTCATAAATATTGTACAAAATCTGTCTCTCTCCTCCTCCCTATCCTCTCTTCCTCTCTCTCCTCTCTTCCTTCCTCTCTCTTTGAAATGTGGAATGGTCCTGGCTTCCTCCTTCTCTTCTCGCTTCCTCCCTCTTTCCCTCTCTCTCCTACACTCCTCTCTCTCTTTCTCTCACTCTCTCTCTCCCTCCCTCTTCCTCTCTTTGAAGTGTAGAATAATCCCGGTTTGAAAAGCGACACTTGTGGGACCGCTCTGACCTGGTCCCATTCAGGAATAGAGTTTCAAAAGGACCGGCTCCTAAAATGGCTCCACTATCAACTGTATATCAAACTACCGCATAGTGTTATTTTAGCGGATTAATATTTCTCGTACGAGCTCACACACATTTTATTTCAGTAGAAGCATCTGAGCTTGGAAGATGGAGAAGTTTAATGCCATACTGTGGACCACTGCAGGCAAAACAGTAACATTTTCATAGAGACAAGCAGGGCCATACACTCATCCATAAAAGTTACATGTGCTTTTTTTAAATATTAGGTAATTGAGAAAGACATTAAACTTGCATTTATTCAATTATGGGTCGTTCGTTGCTAACAAATATGCATTCTTACTGTGAGTGAGCTCGCCTCTGCACAGATTTGACCTGTTACTTGCCACTTGCTTGTCACCATCGAGATCAATAAGTTTAGGTTTAGTTTAGTTAGTTTCATGGGGGGGATCAATATACCACCTAGACACAGCCAAATAAGCATGATCAAGAACTCAAACTTAAGATCTACTGGTTTATAAGTCGAGTTGGCGAACTACTCTGCCGCTGTACTGTCTTTACACACTGGCGCCTTCGTTGTTGCTTCTGTCTGCTTCTCCAGTTATCACGGACTATCCCTTTAAAACTTTGTAAATGCGGTGATTGATTTCACTGCCACGTCCCTGAGTTTTCAAGTCGTTCCTTTACTGACCCCTAGAGGCTGGCTTTAGTATGACTGCCCCTATCTTGCAATAATAAAGCTTTAGTGCCCAGACCAGCTTGAACCAAGTAAATTATTCTATTAGTTAGAATCAACTAATTGTTCCTTTAGCGACCCCCTGTGGATGGATTTGGTATCTTTTTTGTCCCTTTCAAAAAATACTGAATATAAGACCCAAAAATATACAGTCAAAATTTCAAAGGAGAGTACAATAAACAGATTTTGCCCTCAGTTAGTAGTATTGTTACTTTAAAATTGCATTATACAAGTATAAATAAAAAAGAGAGATTCATAAAATTAAAAGTATTTGATGTAAATACAAGTTGAGGACTGAGTAACTGTTTAAAGATCAAATTTAGTGTTAGTTTAAACAGTTTTCTGGTGTTTCCGATGATTTAAAAAAAAAAAAAAAAGTACAGTATTTTAGTATAGTAAGATACACAAAATTTGCAAAACAAAACTGTTTTTTTTTTTTTTTTTACTCAAGTTGTACTACTGACTGTACTGTTACTTGAAAATTATATTACTCAATATGGAATGGTAGCTACTAGAAAACACTAGGAACGTTTTAAAAGATCATTGCTACATACCACTGCATTCTCCCTCTAAAATGTATGACTTTTCTATTATTAAAACACAATTATTTACAAATGAATGCAATATTTTATTTTATTTTGTGTGAGAATCAAGAAATCACCAACTGCGTCTGAAACCAAAACCCATGTCAGTTGTTTCTGTCTTAAATAAAAGACAAAAGCAGGAGCAGTGATTTTTAAGTGTGATGTTTAAAAAAAAAAACTGTTTTGGGAAAGTGTCTAAAAATACAGTCTCGCTGTGCTTTTATTTGTCGAAACAAAATGGAAAAATACAAAACATTCCTCTGCCATTTGTCAAATATTGTACAGTCTACTCCTGTTTGTCTCAATAACCAACATACTACACCATTGTAATAGATTTTTTTTGGACCTGCATTAACACTTGTATGTACTCTGTCAGTAATTACGAAAATAGGACAAAAAAATAACAATAATTTCAAGAAGTGCCGTACAAATAGAAGCCTAATATTATTTTGGTTTTGTGTGAGTGTACTGTACACCTGTATAATGTATATTTTAATATTTATATGCAGCTGTTGTATTAAAGTATATTTTTAAAATAAAGTCTGGTCTTCGTGTGTTTTTCGGTTTAATGGTTGAATGGAAACTATAATAAAGTTGTTCATTTTAATTAGATGGATGTGTTGTAAATATCCTCATACATTTACATGATTATACGAATAAAAGATGTTTTTTGCATCCTATCAAACGCAGACGTGATTGTGGTTAAAAAGCATCGCTTGCATGTTTTACTATCTGCTACCATCTAGTGGCAATAGGATCATGACTGAGACTTTACCTGTAGCATGCACCAATAGAGTTTATGTAAAAATGTATATAGAATCAGGAACACAGACAAAAATTGCCTTTATTTATATTAGTGGACATTAGAATTCACCGTTGATAAAAATACTTTCAGTGTCTCATAAAATTACAATCTGTAATCATACAGTCGAATTTCATGAAAAAATATATCATGTGCATGTTAGTGTCCCTAGCTGCTCTGATTCAACTTTGTCCAACCCATTACAGACAAATGTAGTAATTTGAACTAATACAGCTACCGTAAATTTGTTTTTGATGTATACTAACACTACATTGCAGACAGAATGTCTGTTTTACTGAGGCTTGACCACACTTGTTTCCACTCAATAAAGTATGTAGTCTAAATAAATTGCACTTTATGAACTAAACTACTTAAATAAATAAATTAATTTTTTCATGATATTTCATGATATTCAGATTTCCTGAGATGCATTATTCATTTAATATATTACATATGTACTATATACAAAGAATATTACTACTAGTAGTAGTAGTTGTAATAGCATTAATAGTAGATAATAATTAATAGGAGACGTAATTTGACTTCTCTCTTTAGTACCTATATTACTATCATGTTGAGGAGAAAATTCAATTTGTCGACTGGACAAAAGTTAGTTTGGTTGAAGAGGTTTCGCAGCTCATCCAAGATGCTTCTTCAGTTCTGGGGATATTACTATCTTATATTACTATCATGTTATTAATTTGCTTCCTCTTTGCCTCCTGTCAGATGCTGTATTAGTAGTAGTAATAGTAGTAGTAGTAGTATAATAGCATTATTATTATCCTGTTAACAATTTGCCTCCTCTTTGCTCTCGTCTTGTCCGCTGTTGTCTGAATACTGCTCGTAGTCATCGGAGTAGTTCTCATCCGATTCTGCAGGACAATCCTCCTCTGACTGGTCTTCTCTCTTCCCCTTTCTTTCCTCATCTTTCTCCTCCTCTCTCTCTCTATCGCTCTGCTCTCCCTCTGTCTCTTTTTGAGACATTTCAGGCTCGTTTGGGTCTGACTCCACGCCCTCGTCGTTCAAGTAGACCTTTCTGAAGTGCACAGGTTTGTACCCCATGTCCGGATCATCTCTGTCACTGGAACAAAAAGATTACTCAGAATGTATCAATCCTCAGAGGAAAAAATAAGGTGCTTTTATACTAAAACAGTAAAATGAAAATACTTTGTGGATTTCAGCTTCTTCTTACAGGCAACATTTTGAGGACTTTGCAGCTTTCAAAAAATATAATATTTTGTTTAAACTGTTAATTGCAACGGCAACAGTTTTCATTCTGAAACCCATGAAGTAAGTGCCAATGAGAAATTGAACTAAGAAATCTAAAAGGATTTACCACATCTATAATCAGTACTCAACACCGGTCAATACTAATCTATTAAGGTTCCAGTTTTGATCAAATCTCAATTTGAATGGTTGCCATTAGAAATAAGATAAAGTTGCAGCTATTTGGGTAGCATAATACTCATTGTAAACTCTGTTCTTTCTGGATGCAGTCTTATCATAATAAACCCTTATATATAACCTGACACTCAAGTCAATGGTTTGGTAAGTTTTATGTAATTATATAACAGATGTGTATAAAGGCCCCATATTAAACAAAATGAATTCTTGTGAGATTTAAGCCGTGTTAGGATGTTGTTACCGCCTCAAAGACTGTGTTTTGTTTAATTCACTCATATTTGAGAAACACTGCATTATTAATATGTCTACATCTCCAGTGCTCGGAATGCTCTGTTTCTACCTTACGATAGTTTTCAAGTTAACAGCTCCTTTTACCTTTTGTTCAGTAAAGATTGGCATTTCAAGGGCTGAAATAATCCAAATGATTTGAATTAAGATTTATGGGGTTTAAAAACGCAGTGGAGCACTTCCTGCGTTACCATATAACATCACAACTTGTTTTCAGTTTGGGAGAAGTTTAAACACACAGGGCTTGTATGTTAAACATATGTAAATGAAACAAAACGCAACTCAGGGTATGTCTTCGATAAGAAAACAACATTATAACATATAGCGTAATACCTGACTTTGCTGTCAGTGGAGGACGAGGGTTTGCGAGCAGAAGTGGAGGTGGACTTAGCCGCATTTTTAGTGATGAAATCCTGGGTCACATCACAGCCCTGAAGAGCCTCTGTGAAGCGCTTCTCTGCAGCCTGTTTAGCATTCCTCTGAAACCACAACAGTGAGAGCATGAGTCCACTGAACATTAAAGCTGGATTACTCAACTTTTCTATTGTAAATTAGTACATGCTTCCCCCATAAAGTATATTGAAAAAGAGCAACTTTTAGGAAATTAGACCGCTGTGTACTATCTAGACTGTATAAAGAAGTTGATTAACAGTGTGATGTCACCCATAGCGTTCAGCTGCAGTCAGATGAAGCTCATTGAGGCTTGCAGTTATGAGGGTGAATCTGAAGCTGAGTTTCGTATTTGGAACTTGTTGCGAGTGGGAGCAACCTCAGCAAAAGAGGGCAGCTCATTGGTCTGTTAGTAATGTTAATTTCTTGACAAAATATAAAAATAAACACCAGGATCACCAGGAGCGGGTTAATACTGACATTTAAAGACCAAAATGATGACTCTGACAGCAGCAGTTACAGTGAGAGGAGTGACATTTGAGATGATCTGTATTGCTTAACAAGTCAATTAAACATAAAATTAGTGTCACAACCAAGCTAGTATAAGTTCTTCTCATTCACACTCAATTAATCGTGTCCATGAACGCTAGTATTGATCAAGAGCTCTTGAAAATGCTTTGTAGTGTTTCGTAATGTGCGCATTGTTTCACCATGGAAACTGCTGAACATTTCACCATAGACATGCATGTAATGTGTGTGATGACAGTGCAAAGTATCAGTGCCACTTTGGGATAAGGGCTGATTGACTGTTCATTGCAGGTGAATACTGCTGATGTGCAAAAGGGTTTGTGAAAGCTAGGAACAAGTCAGAAATACCCACTTACTCATTTCATTGTTTGAAAATCGGGTGCTCCAGATTTAATAAAGAAAGTGAGAGAGTGACCCAGTAGTTTGTTACCTGTGCCACCTGCTCCAGTAGAAGTGGTCTCCCCTTGACTCTTTGTCTCATCTCCTTTATCTCCTGTTGGTACTCCTTTTTACGTTGAAGCTCCATTTTCCTGCAGATTTGACATAACAACACATAGATTAGCTGTTATTGTGTTACTTATTTTATTCTGAAACTTATTGCTTATAATATCAATTATTTTGTTAGCCAGTTGTATTTTAGAGTGTGCAGAGATCTAGATGCATTATTGTATATGGGACATCACAGAATCATGACTGTCAAGTGTGTAGCTAAGAGCCAGAGAGCACATCTCTCAGGGGGAAATGGCTGGAGATAGGGACATCAAGATTAATAGGTAATTGTTGCTTAAAGTAAATGGTCACATTTTTATATGGCACTTTTCCTTCAAGGCACTCTAAGCGTTGGATTTTAGCACCATTTATATTTTTTGCTCTTTTTAGTTTTTGCTCTTTTTCCAGTTTTAAATCTTTTTTTCCACATATTATTTTTTTTAATCTTATTTTTATGTTTGATTTGAACACTCCATTTTTATTGTTTATTCACTTTAGGTTTAGGTTCATAATTGCTGGGGAGGTTGCCATTGTTGCAATTGTGTAATAGTCCTATTGTGTGTGAAGTGTATGTATGAAAAGTGATACACAAATAAAGTTTTGATTGATTGTTTGATATTGTGATGTGTGAGCTACTGTGTCCAAGTAATTTTCCTTGTGGATCAATCAAGTTTGTCTAAATCTATAAACTTTATGTTCAGAATTGTGACATCCCTATTTGGTGACTGCTGAGTACAGTACAATATTTAAGTAACTACCACTATCCCTAACATAACATTGTGACCCTTTTGGCTCCTACAAACTAAAGTTCAAGTCATTTTCAGTTGAGCACACATCGTTCAGCATGCTTCCATATTTGTACCTGAATTCCTTAAGTTTGCTGGGCTGCGTTTGGGACAGGGACAGATGTGGGTCATTGGCTTGGGCGCGTTTCACCACCATTGTCTGCAGCCTCTTCTCTCTCTGCCTCTGCTTCTCTCTCCACTGCTCCTCCTCTGCATCCACCCTCCTCCTCTGCTCCAATGCCTTTCTGTTCAACCACAAACTCATGACTTCATCTGGGCTCGGGGCGTACGGAGGAGGAGAGGAGGGGAGGGACGGGGGAGGAGTGGTATGGTACAGGGGGGTACAGGCGAGGGAGGGGGTACAGGAGAGCTGAGTTCAACATGTCACTGTGGGGAAGGACAAACCAGGGTTAGAAGGAAAACACTAAATACTACAACAGGACCAAGCAAAATTTTACAACAATACAATAAAACCTAAAGGATGAGACAAGTGAAGAGGGGGGTGTAGACAACTAAAACTAAAACAAATGTCCATGCTCAGTGGATTTCATTTATCATATATGGTGGGGATGTGCAGGATCAGTCAGGGCCAGGGGCAGACATTTTTTGAAAGAGGGGTTAAAGATTAATGTGAGGCGTTTACTCTTCACCCCCATCTGTGTTAGTCTCATTGTTATAAACAACTTTAAGTGGAACAGCACACTGTAAGAATTATGGACCTTAATGCTGAATTTCTTGTTTTATTGTCAATTTGGTTGTTTGTCATTTTTAATAGAGACTGGATGTCCTGCGAATAGATTTTTATCATTTAAAATGTTTTAAATATAATTACATTTTAATTATACTAATTGTATTGTTTTTAGTCTAATATTATTCTGGTTCTTATGTTTCCTTTTCTTCTTAAAAAGGTGACTGCATCTAAATGTGTTTTCATGCCCTCCTAAATATTCTTTGATCTGGACACACACATGTACCTGACAGCTTCTTGTCTTTTCCTGGCTGCGCTGGTGCTCTTGCTGGGCAGGAGCTCGGTGCTGCCGGACAGAGAGGAGCAGAGGCTGGAGGGGGGTGTGTGACGTGGCGGCTCTGGGCTGTAGGGCCAGCGCAGAGCTCTGGGGCTCTTCTGCTCATTTTCAATCTCAGCCAGAATCCTCTCCCGATGAGACGAGATCTGGGAGGTCTTTAGTTCAAATGGCTCACAGGATGTGGTGGGTTTCACCTGCACAGATATTGATATAGATGACAGTGCTGAAATGATTAATCAACTAATTGTTCAAGGCTAGTCAGCTATAAAAAATTAAAAATCAGAATCATTATACGGATTATATAGAACCTAAAACGCATATGAAAAGGCAAGTCAGTGGCATCACTAAATTAAAATGTCTATTAAACCTTGTCAGCTTTTCATCAATAATATACTTTATACATAAATATTCTCTATGAAGAAGCACCATATTTGAACATTTTTTTTGTTTGATAATGTACTTAAAATATCTTAATTTACAATATAAATAATTGCTGACTAAATTATGAATAATTAGGACTGTTACCATTAACAATTTAAAACAAAATGTTGTCTTTTTGAAAGGGGAGAAAATTACATAACCACCCACAGACAGAGACAGACAGACAGATAGATAGATCTGAGTAGCACACCTCTTTACGCTTCTCCAGGTGTTTCTTAAACCGTCTGTAGCTGGCGTCAAAATCTGGGACCTCTTTGTTGATCTTTGGTTGATAAGTGCAATCCTTTTCCTCGTCTTTGGTCGTTTTGCGTTGATCAAGTCGACGTGCTAGCATAGAAGGCGGCATAGAAGCACTGGAAAGCATCTCTTGAGCTCTCATATGTATTTTGATAGACCGATAAAGTTGTTCTTCCTTCATTTGGTCCCCAGTGGCCGCTGCGTACACAGACTTGGGCACTGGTTTTGCTTTGAAGGGCTTGAACTTATCTTGATTGGACTGTGCTGCTTTTTGCTGTTGCCTCTGCTCTTTTTTCAACCTCTCTCTTTCTAAAAAACTAAAAGGCTTCTGGAGACTTTTCAGGTAATTTTCTTCTCTGATAGTTTTCCTTCGCTCCTCGCTTTTTTCTTGCAGCTCTTCAAACAGAGGTAGATGAACGTGAGCAGGGACTGGACTAGCTCTGAACTTTCTTTGGCATTCGGTGAGCTCCTCCAGTTGTCTTCGCAGCTCTGCATTTTCGTGTTCGATTTCAGAGCGGGTTTTTATTCCTCTTTTTCTCCTCTCTTCTTCTCGTAGCATCATATGGAATGGCTTAGGTACGGTCACGCGATGCTTCCATGTCTCCTTACTGGATCTTTTCTTGTGTCTATGTTTTTTGGGATTGTTTGGGTCGAGGGATAGACTGCGCAGGGAGGAGGACAGCCGGCGCGTTGGAGGGGAGAATTTAAAGTCCACCCACATGTTTTTGATGTGGTCATTTGGGGAAAATTGGAGACCTTTGTCTGTGTTGCTGGTGTCTATGTCCTCATCTTCGTCTGATGAGTCTGAGAGTCCATACCGAAGCTCGACTGCAGAGTGGGACTTCCTCAAACGATGGGAAACTAATGGACTACTATTGGGCCAATGAATCCTGCACATACAAGAGACAGAGGCTGTGTTTACATGCAACCCACAACCTGATTATAATCTGATTTCTGGTTTATTTAAATGACATACAAACCTCAAAATCTCATTTGCGCAAACTGAGAGATCATGATCGAATGGAAATCAGATTACTCACATCAGATTTTCCTGTCATTTTAACAATCTTTTCACTCCAGAAATAGGATAATCAGATTTTAAGTCCACATGTAACCACAGTCAGTGGTTAAAACCAGATGTATTTAACATTAAATCATAGTATTTTCTTTTATACTACCATGTGTCCTTATATACATGTGTAATCCCTTAGTCATCCAGGTAGGTTCCATAGTGGACCATGGGCGAATACAAATGTTTATAATCAATAATAAATTATTGATTAGAACATGTATTGTAGTATTTTCCAATACTGGGAAAGGTAGTGTCACCTACAGAGGATCCCAGTCTGCAAGGCTGCCTCACCTGTGCCCAGCCTCTGTAGACTCTCCGTCCAGTAGCTCAGTGGACTTGAGTTGAAGTTTCCTCCGGTACATGCTCTCCAGCTCGGCCATGGTGCGCAGGTGGGCCTTCTTCAGCTCCTCCAGTTTGGTGTAGTACTCCTCGTTTGAGAAGAAGATTTTACTGAGGTCTATGCGGTCGCCCGAAGCTCTTAAATTTACCACAGGACCTCTGCTCCTCAGGTAATCTTCATCATAGAACTCAGAGCCACAGTCCTCAAACTCCAACTGGCAACACAAAACAATTGTATATTTTATTCAAAAATACACTCTACAAAAGAAAAACAAAACAAAAAACTAAACTAATTATCAATCAGTGTTGCTCAAATAAAAATAAAACTGCAGAAGGAAATACTAGTTAATTACTTGAATTCAGTACATTAATTTTCTTAGAGTAGTTTTTACTATATAATTCTGTTTCCCTTCTCTCTTAATGTGAGTGTTGTAGACTGGCAGAGCAGGTTCTCTCAGGTCTAAGCTCATTACATGTGTTTGTGTGAGGGAGACAGATGGAGAGCACAAAGTCAGTCTATAACACAGACTGACCCCTGCCCAAACAGGTGTCAGACAGCTAAACACCCTGCAGTGCTACTGAGCAAGATTTGGAGAAAGATTGAATGGGATAAAAAAAAAAACTGAGACCAAAATATGGTTAATAAAGTTTTCTAAAGGTTTAAATTTGGCAATTCCTCAAGAAAAATTCAAAGTTATTTTTAACCCAAGATAATTCAGGTCACAATTTAATCAAATGAACTAAAAAACATTAGTAATAGTGAGATTAGCTGGTTATTCATTTCAGTTCAATTAATACTTCAAAAAGTAAACCATTAAATGTCATGTATGTATAAACCCATGTATAATTCAGAAATTATGATTTTTAAAATGCTGTTCACATATCTTAGGACTGGTAATTAGACAACATGAATTGTAAATTAATTAAGGATTTCTGATTTCTAGACTATAAAAAAGTATTTAAATGACATGTTAACCACAAATGCTGATGCGATCAGGTGATTTTGCTCTGAATGCTATTTATGGTTTTGTTTTACTTAGCGCTTGTTTTACTTAGAGAGTTATGAATGCATGAGACAATACAAATGTACACTGCTTCAAATGCATTGTGTCACCTCCTCTGACACATTGAATTAGCCTGTGGGATTATAAACTGAGAGTGACGTCTGTAATCTGGTCCGCAAAGAAGTCCACGAATAGTCAGACAGCAAATAAAACAGGTTAAATCCCAGCTGGCAAGCACACTGACCTGGAACTGTCACTGGTCCAAATAGGGACACAAGATCGAAGGACAATGGATATAAAGGCAGTGAAAACTATAGAAGCTACTACAACCAAGTGCATTCAGATATAAAAGTTTCCCCTAAATGAATACTATGCTGGCCCACAGAACTAAATTTCACCCCCCATAAACGTCTAAAGTGTATTTGGTAAAAATGAAATGGTTCGCTTTTTAAATGTTTTGTAGGTAGCCTATGCTATGTATTTTTAGTTGACTAAGTTGATTACAAGATGGTAGACAAATACCAAAAAATAATAATAATAATCCTACATTTCCTAACTATATGTGTTTGTTACTGTTTAAAATGTAATTGTGTATAATTAACACCCGTGGAGTAAGATTACATTAGCCTAAACATTTAATTAATCTAGATGCTAGTTACACATACTTGTAAGATAATTAGTCCATCAATTCACAATTAAAGTAGCTAGCTACAATATGCAATATACAATCATTTAGTTTGAAGTGAAGTTTGAAATTACAATTTCCATCGTCATAAATAAATAAATGCTACATCAAAACATGAATTGTTCTTGCTAGAACTGGTCACATCATGGCACACACTCCCTCACTGTACGCTGTGTGGGAGAAGATAAAACCAGGACTAAGCCTACTCTACATGTGTAACATTACCTACAAACATAATAGACTTACAGTAATTTAGATTAAGGGATTGTTGTTTTAGGTCTTTAAAAATGTGCGCTTTGAAATAATGGAGGCTGTTGTATTAAAATGTACCTCCTGGTCATACTCCGTGTTGTCGGTGCAGGGCAGGACTCGCTCCCGCTCGTATGAAGCCAAAGGGGCCTTGGTGTGCGGATCTACAGGGGTCTTCAGGCACGACGTGACTAAAACGTTGGTCCGATGCGCATTGGCCATTATTATATGGCAGTTTCCGTGTTTTTAAATGGTATTTTGTGAGAATGTTGAAAGTTTCTTTACTCCGGGAGCACTGCTCCTGGATAAGCGTCCGTTTGTAACAGGAGCAGGTGCGTTACCTAGCAACGGGAGAGCTTGGGAGGACGTGACGTAAAGAGACAGGAAGTGTGGGACATGCAATTAAAATATATATTTCATTTAATTTAAAAAGAAAAATATATTACATTTTACACCAGAATACCATTGCATCATAAACACAAATGGTAGCAGATTTAATATAAGTTGAAATTCTAAATAAATTTAAGCTTTTCACAAACTGTTGAAACAAAATTGTAAAAATGTGTACAATAAATTAATGTATCATGTCTATTATACTTGCATCAGTAGAAGTATGTCACATAAGACATTAGCAAGTTTCAGTCCTAGACTATCACTGGAACACCCAATTTATCTAAGAAGGCCCAACTTGTGTAAATCTTCCATTATGTTTGATTAGATTTAGCATACAGAAAGTAATTCATCCATACTATGACAAGCATTCCAATTACTAAATGGGCTTTTATACTGAGGATGATGTTGGATGCATAAACAATAAATCAAAACAATTTATCAAATGGGTTCTTCATATTAACACACAGGCAACAGCTGGAGTGTCAACAAAAACAGCCTTTTATTAAATTACTGAATGTAACAACTACAGAGAAATCTGAACAGACAGGTCGCTGCAGGACTTAGGCTTTAGGACAGCAAGAGCAAGTTTATCGGGTGTTCACCTGTAACACAAATAAAATACATTTATTAGTTTGATTAAGGTTTGACAATTTAAAGTCATTGTAGTTATTGATTTAAAAAAATTAAAAATTAAAAATAAAAACAAGTTGAGGAAAATGAGTCTTACCACATCATCAATCTTGAGGATACTGCGGACCGTCTCAGTGGCCAAAGTCAGAGCACTGACAGAAACAAGCAAAGGCTGCACCACCAACTCCTCCAAGATATTAGAGATTCCTCCCTGCAAAAACAAAATACACATAAAAGAAAAGATTAGTTTCAATTTAAATTCCAATTTATGAAGAGACAAACTTTATTGATTTGCAAGGAAAATTATTTTGACACAGTAGTTCACAGGTTACATATATAATGAAGTGCAAATGATAATACTCTTCAAAATGACAAGAATTACAAGTGTGATATGATCTAGCCAGTTATCAATCACTCACGCTACAATAATTAGCACTTGCCAGTACAGCGCAACGCACAGAAATAATTGCAATTAGTCATTTATGTTCTAAAATAAATATTAAGTCCAATCAATTGAGAGAAGACTTAACTATAAACTCCAAAACTAATAAGAATCCTAAGCACTTCAGAAACATGTCTAAACTTCATGATTTCATATATAGCCTACTCTCCAATTGTAACCACTTGAACAATGCCTAATTTCCAATCAATCATTCAAGACATTGCTCACCTTGCGGACGTTGATTCCCGCCATCTTGTCTCCCTGGGCGTGCCTGTTGCGCAACTCTGTCACCGTGCTGATGGGGTTGAGTCCGGCGTTTTCAGCCAGAGTGGACGGGATGACCTCCAGAGCATCAGCATAGGCCCGGACACAGTAGGCCTCCATGCCCCCTAGTGTACGGGAGTATTCAGCCAGTCGCACAGCCAATTCAATCTCAGGGGCACCACCTCCAGCAATAAGAGCCCTGAAAAGAGAGAAATAATTATGAATCATCATTATGATTAACAAAGGTAAAATCAGATCTCGTCATCATTCAGTTATTGGGTAAAAAACATTGTGCAACAAGTGAATAGTCCCGGGAGGTCTAGTGCTCTCAATTTGCAGTGAAGCATGTTGGGAGTAAAAGACAACATTTTATTTTGTAATCTTTTTTTTTTTTTTTTTTTGAACAACAATTAAAGTGTATGAAAGCCCTGCAGCCAGGTTACCAAGGCAACCAGGTGTAAAAGACATGGAGGGCTTTTCAGTTTCTGTTTCTCTGCTCGTTACGCACCAGCAGGAGGGCAGCCGCTGGAGCGCCTTTGTCAGAGAGGAACTAGGACATCTATCACATTTCACATCATTCACAATCTAACAACAAACTAACAACAAGCACAAGAACTAGCACAGATTGAAACAAAATCAATTTAGTAACCAAAACCATAAAAAGTTATTGTAAATTATTTGTTTTCGTTAATGTATTTTATTGAAAATTACATCCAACCAAGGTTATATTAAAAATCGATTACGGTTTTCCCTCCATGTAAATAAGCGTGGCAGCACTGGGTTTTGTAATCATCTGTACTTAGTGGAGTAATTAAAAAGACTGATTATTCATTATAAATCAATCCAGAAATGTTAAGTGCTTTAAGGATCTAAAGAAGGTGATGTACAATAAGAATCCATATTCTAATTATAATGATTATTCAAATGTTTATGACTATTATACTACCATTATTTTTAGACCCACCTCTTCTTGACCAGGCAGCGGATGACACACAGAGCATCGTGAATGGAGCGCTCTGCCTCCTCGATCACCAGTTTGTTGGACCCTCGAACCACGATGCTGACAGTTTTCCCTGGGTTTGTACAGCCTGTGATCTAAAGAAGACAATATTTTAATTAATGTAATGCAATGTGTCAGTCTAGCAAGTTGATTTATTTTTCCCCATTTGCCCCAAAATGACTTTGTGATTCTGTTGAGTCCTATGTGTATCACAGATTAAGAAAATTGGGAAATGAAGTATAGAGCAGTGGATGTATGCCCGTGGAGGTCAGGGGTTGATTGGCAATAATATTCTTAGTCCCATTATATCATACATAAGAACTATTGTATATCACAAAAGAACAACAATGACCTTAAGCTTCATAAGCAAGCAAATGGGCACTTAGGATACTTTGGGATCTAATCATTTAGACACTTGATTACATCTGTTTTTATAAGTGTAAGAGTATAAAATTACCTTTACAAGTTTCCCAGATCCATCAAGATGAACTTCTTCCACCAGTTCTGCTGTTCCGAGCATCTCTGCAGCGAAGTGGTCGATGTGAGCAATGGGTTTGGTACCAATTGTCTGGAAGAAAAGTGATAAAATAAGATCAGATCTATCATCAGATTTATCATTGTATTAAGATATAGTGTTACCTTGCAGATGAACTCAATTTCTTCCCTCTCAATTTCCTTCACCACCATTATCTTCATTTTGTTGAGGAAGTGCAGTGCAAGGTCACTCAGCGCATCTCTGCACAACAAAGGAAAAAGGAATGCATTGATCTGAGGGAAATTAGATACAATTGAGGGTACGCACAAATTTCTACTAAGACTATGGTGAAATAAACCATTCTGATTCAAGGGTTTTACAAGTAATTTTTTTTTAATAAAATGACACTTACTGTCTTGTATATCTGAATTTAAAATGGTCAAGTTTGATCAGAAGCTTTACTTCAATAATAATGCAAAAGGACAAAAACAAATTTGTCATCGCCCGATTTATTATTCATATAATATTATTTATTTTGATAGGAAGGAGAAAACTTAAATGTGTGCACCTCATAATTCATCAGTATTAACTGGAAAAACTGCAGAGAAATGCATTTTAAAAAACATAAGAAAACAGACCAACCTAAGGATAGACTTCTGGATGAGAAGCACATTGCAGCCGGCTTTTTTGATTTGTTTCACAAGGTTCAAGATGTAGGCTCTCTCCTCCCTCAGCACTCTGTCCATCTGAGCATAGTCTGACACTACGATCTGGTTATCCATCTGCAACAAAGAAAGTACAATTAAAGGATTTAAATGCACAAGTGATGAGTGGATCATTCAGCAATCGTTAAAGATGTTAGATCAAAACAATAATCACATACATCTGTTTTTGGAGGTGAGAGGCAGAACTGAATGAGTCCAATCTTTGCTTTCTCCACTCGGGTCACCCCAGTATTGGCCACTCTCTGAGTCAGCACGAGACCATCCACCAGCTCACAGTCGTCAATGGTCCCACTACAAATGAGAACGAATAATTTTTAGTGGTCAAAGCTCTAAAATATGCCTTCAAATTGCCTATTATATGCCTATTAATAAATCATTAAGGAATTTCCTTTCTGCTTAAAGACAAATGACAAGACTGTATTGGTCAGGGACACCTACGTCAATGTTTTTCAGTATATACATAATACATCATAACTTTTTGTTGCTTCTTCTTAAGTCTGGTTTTCAACATTAAAACAATGTGATGGTTTGGGATACAGTTTAAGCAACAGAATCATGTACCTGTAAGCACAGACCAAACGCTAATAAATATCTCTAAGGGAACCCTATAATGGTTGTTAAAACAAACACAAATTCATAGTATTCTAAAACTTTTTTATTTTTTTATCCAGTGCGCTTTTACTGTAATGTGTGACCTTCCTAATCCCGGTTTTACTCACCCAAGTTTCTTGACAATCTTGATGTCTTGGAGGTCAACACCAGTTGCTGTTTTGGGGTCAATCACCCTCATTACTGCATCCACACTCATGGGAGCGAGGAGACTGGAGTACTGCGATACCACCTTTGAACACAGGGAGGTGGTGGCGCTGTTCAGTAACGTTTCGCGGTCGGACAGTTCCACGGGACGACTCATGGCTGTGAGCACCTCCACTCCTTTGTCCACTGCTTTCTGGAACGACTCTGAGATTGTAGTTGGGTGTATACCTGCGTAGATGAGGAAAATGGCACAGATGTTTGAAGAAGATATAAAGACAAAGGCAATTTAACTTTTTCCATATTTATATAACCAAGTTATAAGGGCAATCTAGGGTTTGGTTTTGAGTAAAAGTGGAAAATAGTCAGCTCAAATGACTGACTAGATTTTGGGACAGCACACGTTATGTTTGAGACTCTAAATTGCAATTAACATTAAGCAATACAACTGGAACCCACACATTGGCTTCACAAACCTTTTTGCAGCAGTCTGGAGCAGGCATCCAGCAGAGCTCCAGCGATCACCACCACAGACGTTGT